ATGAAAATCAGATCTGAACACAGATACTGATGAGATGATAAAAATTTCTTTTGAAAATTCAAATGAATTCTGATTTTTATGAAATTAGTATCACTGAAAATATCTCGATCTCTGTGTGAACTTTTGTGAAGAAAACTTTTTCATATTTTGAACACATGAATTTATAAAAATCGAAGAACACATGAAGATCAGTCAGAAACTAGTCTGTCACTAGATCTATGCATATATGACGTTGCAGATCGTACAATCCTAAGATGCTTGAAATTTTATGAAAATTTTATGATGAACATATTAAGATGTGTTCTACGACTTTTATGAAGAAATTTTCTTCAAAAAACGATCGTAGAAAATCAGAAAAATCATAGAACAGAACAACGTCAATCAGGAAATCATCAGAACAGACTTGAACATCACATTCCAGATTCTGATCCTAACTTCCGAAAGAGTTTTGACCTAGAAAACTAAGTCTTATTGAGGCATGCAATATATCAAATTGAAGCTTGAGACGTTTTTTACGAATCTCTAGTTCATCACTTCACAAGATTTCGACATTAACGAGCTGAAATCAGCATCTCAAACATGCAGGTTTCTCTGTACACGAATTTACAGAACAACATCCAAATGTACCTACCTTGTTCAGGAGTGTTGCTGAGCTCAAACGAGCTATTTTGGCTACCGATAAACTCCGGAATGGCGCCAAATATAGCTCCCGATATCTACGTCAAAAGGTAAGAATATCGGCGTAAGATTGCGATCTAAAGATGAAGAAATAAAATCAAGCTCAAAGTTGAACTCCGGTGACTTTTCCGGTGAAAGCTGGCCTCCACAGCTTCGTGACAGGGCTAAGGATGATGATTGCAAGCCTTAGACCGCCTAGGAAGGACGCCGGAATGCCGGAATCGCCGGAATCATCGGCTGGACAGATCACCGGTTCGGCCGCCGGTGATGCAACCGAGAGAGAGATGGAGCTGATCGGAGATGCTCCGGCCACCAGCAGATGTGGCCAGCCTTGCGACTAGCTTTAGGACGACCGGGGGGCTACCGGAGTGGTGACGGTGAGCCAGAAATCAGCCGGCAAGTGGCCGGCGTGAGCAAAGAAAACTCACGGCCAAGAGAGGGAGAGGGAGAGGGAGAGAGAGATAACGTGAGATGGAGAGAGAAAGAGAAGGAAGAGAGAGAAAACAGATCTGAAAATGTGAGGGCTTCCTCAATTTTGGGAGGGAAAAAAAAACTATATACTCTCCTCAACTTTGAATCCTAGCCCTTAGATTGATCCAATGGCCTAGAATGCATCCTTAATGATTAAGAATATTCCTTAAGGGCTAAGGATTGGTGACATGGCATTATGGATGGACATGATCAATTCTAAATGAATTGCCATGATTGATTTGCTTATCCCCTAATTAATTTGCTTAATCCTTAAGGAAGGGCATTTTAGTAATTTCACTTAGGGGCATTTTCGTAATTTTCAATTAAGGGCATTTTTGTCATTTTTGGGCTCAAAAGGATGAGGCCAGCCTTGGCTGGTCGGAATGGACCGCCGATCGCCGGATTTTTGACCGGAAAATGGCCAGTCCGATCGAACCGGTTCAATTCGAATCAAACCGGGTTGAACCGGTTTGTCCCGAGTTTGGCTGGGTTGAACCGGTTTAATCCTTGGTTTCATTTGTTCCCATTTTGTACAATTTGATCTCTATCATGATTAATTGACCCCATTAATATTGAATTCGATCAAATTGGATTGAACCGATTTGAAATTCATGCACAAATTGATCGAATTTAACTTGTTTAGCTCAATTGTTCTTGAATTTGGGTAATTGCATGGCCAAGCTAGACTAACGAATTTAATTGAAGTCCAATTAGCCAAATTGAGTCTCAATTCATCAAATTGAATATTAGTTTAGAGTGGGTCAAGTTGAATTGCACTAATTGGACCAATTACTCTTAGACTTCTCAATCATTGGATCACTAAATTGATCAAATTGGCTCAAATTCATGTGAATCTTCCAAATTTGATTTTGAATTTGGATTTCATATAAGAAATTAGGCTCATTCGTGCCTCAATTGCGCAAATCATGAAGAATCGATCCAAATCACTGATTAGAGCCAAAATTGGGGGTTTTTGCTTTTGGCTTGGAATTAGAAAATTGGTTTCAAAATTGAAAGTAATACAACCTCTAGATCAAATGTCATGAAGGAAACTAACCTAAAAAATGACTAGAAATGAAGCAATTTCATTTTTGGCCAATTTGAACCAAATTCTGCAAATTGGGAAAAAGTTGATTCTAAACTGATTTTTGTAAAATTTCAAATGCCAAAGGCAAACTGAATGTAAAATAAGATGATTTTTGGATTTTTTGTATTTTTCAATTTTTTGGTCAAAGGTTTGACCAAAAGTCAAACCCTAGTTGACTTTTCACTAGGAGCTTGATTTTATGATCAAATCTTTGAATTTTTCTAAAATTTCCACTTCTAAAGTAAAATTGGACTTGAAAGGAATCTTTTTATGCGAAAAGCCCCAATTTGACCTGGGGTTGACTTTTGGTCAAAGGATTGACCAAAAAGTCAACTCGAAAGTCAACATTTTGACTTTTCAGGCTTTTGTATGAAATGATTAGAAAATTGTCTATAGAAGCTAGGCCAACAAACAAAATAAAAAAACGACACTTTTTGTTCAAGAAACGGGTCCTGTCGCGATCGGAAACCATAATCTCGAATTTTCTGCTTTTAATGACGCGTCGGCTAAAAATTAGGTGTCAACATACGGATGTATGATCGTTTCCGCATGTGTATTATTCTCTGATTTGGGTTTTGGGTCGGCGACGCGTCCTGGGACGTCGCACCAATACGACCGAAGAGGTATGTTGTGTGCCGTAGGGTTCGGGGCGTGACACTGTGAGCTCAGCTCACCGCCGGAGTTGCTGCTGCTTCTCCTTGCTTGGATTTGCTTAGGTTTTTCCCTAGTAAGTGGCTTCCTAACCCTTGATTAGGCTAAGGGGTGACTAATTGACATGTTAGGGATGGTTTAAGGGCTGTGGATAGTTGGTTTAGTGGCTGGTTGTGCTTGGTTTGCTTGGTGGTGCTTGTTGGTTGATTTTCGGTAAGGTTGCTGCTGCGTCGCTGGATTTTGCTATTTTTGCCGAGACCTGTGTGGGCCGAATCTAGGGTATTGTCCTTCATGAAAATTGTTCAAAACATCTTGAAGTATAACATAATTTAATTTGGAAATTTTTGGAAGTCATTTGAGGCCATTCGGAAGTCCATCTTTGGATCAAAATAAGTCTGCCAGAAACACTGTTCCTCCGACCTTCGGGTCTGTTCAAATTTTTATAAATTTTTCCAGACCTATTTTCAAAATTCTTCCTTCACAAAACTTGTTGGGGACATTTGTGGCTATAACATATAAAAATTTAAAAGCTTCATCAAGATGTCTTCTACGACATATTCGAAATTCATAATTTTTGGAGTTGAATTACTATTTATTTTAAAAGGAATCCCAGAACTGTGCGCTGGCCCAGAATTGCTCCGAATCTGTGTATTCGATTTTCCCTTGTTTCTTGTGGTTAAGTTGTGGTGCTTGGTGGCTGAATTGAATGTTGTGATGTGTGGATTTATGCCATTGGGTGTATAGCTTGAATTGTGGATTGAAAGGTGTTGGAATGATTGGGTGATATGGTTGAACTACATTGCTGCCCTTATGAATGGATTGGTTGGGCTGAGTTGTTGATTTGGAATTGAGCATGTTTGTGTGTGATTAGGGCATGTGGATGTTGTGTGAATGGAATGAGATATGTATCGCGTATGATCGATAATCCCTAAGGCGTGTTGACGCAGGGAAAGACATGAAATTGAATGAGGATGTACGTTTGGTTTTATAATCCCTGAGGCGTGTTGACGCGGGGAAAGGCATGAAATTGAATAAGGGTATACGTTTGGTTCTACAATCCCTGAGGCGTGTTGACGCGGGGAAAGGCATGAAATTGAATGAGGTTTGATCCTATAATCCTTTAGGCGTGTTTATGCGAGGAATTGGATTTGTCTTGAGGCGTGTTACGCGAGACAATGCCCGGATAAACCGGAGGACCGCCGACTTGATGTGTCTTTACGCGAGTCGTGCCGTGGACTTGATGCGTCTTTACGTGAGTCGTGCCGTAGCCTTGATGCGTGTTACGCGAGTCGTACGGTGAGGTGGGCCTGAGGTGTGTTACGCGGGTCGGTATTGATCGAAGTGGACACATGTGTGTGTCGGAAGTTGAAAGATGTGAGCATGTGTAGAGTTTGAGATTGGAATAGGTTGGAATGTTATTATGAATGCATGTGTAGGAAATTGGTTGTACCTTGAAGTGCATGTGCAATGAAAAGTTGGTTATGTTATTGCGATCCAACTAACGTGCAGGGTTATATATGCATCGAGGTAAGGCTAGAGAGTGCCTTTGAATGTTATTGCATGTGATTGAATGTGTTGGGTGTTATTCTATTTGTCTGGAGGTACGTGTTAGCCTATGCGGGGTTTAAGGTGCTTTCTTATTGAGATTCGTTCTCATGGTTATTATATAACCATTTCAGACCCCCGACCCCGACCATGAATGGTCTATCACGGCGTCTTGGGATCCCGAGGAAGAGCCGATGAAGCAAGATCCCGAAGAGGAGCCCATGGAGTTGGTGGACCCTTTTGTATAGCTAGGCTAGACTACCCGACCACTTGTCCCTTTTTTATGATGGTGGTTTTAACCCTATTGGCCTTTTGTATGTAAGGTTGGATTTTGTAAGTACGTGTCATTGAATGAAGTATGTGGTTGATTTGTTCAAGTGTTCTCCTACTATCCTTGGTCTTCAAGACTTGTCTAGGTGTTATAATTGCTTCAGCGTGCGCTTTATGTTTTGATGTTCGTTTGGGTCGGCGACGAGTCTTAGAACGTCGCATTCGAAATACAACCACGGAGGGATGTCGCAGACTCGGTGGGGTCTAGGGCGTGACAGATGTAAAGGTGATCCATGTCAATAATTGACACAAATCCCCCAATCATCCAAACATATGAGTAAGCCCGGACCAACATCGATCGGTACTTACTTTGATCATTAACAAGCAAATGGGTTTCATTTGCTTTACTAGCTTCTTGAACAACCTGACAACACAAAATATAATGATCAACCTATTAGACAGTGGTAACATTCAAATGCAGCAAAAGCTGATCAAGAAAACTTCTATTCATAAACCTCATTGGAACGCCGACGATGCCGACCCCGAGGTGTTTGAGAACTGCCATTCTGCATCGCTCTACTTTCCAATTATCACTCAACAGCAACAGCTTATACTCTTGAAGTAGTCGTGACTAATTGCGAATAATGAGCTGCTACACGATAATACAAGTTACCGAATGCAAATTACTTGAGACAATTTATTACACTAGCACAATCAGATAGTATAGTCGGCAATGGGAATGATATGTCAACAAGAACAATGGAAAAGAACAAATGTACAAACTGAAGTATAAACCAAGAAAAACATATTCCAAGTCGGATTAACTTGTCTCCAACATCTAAAATCTACCTTGCTCTTCTTGAAAGCAACACAGCTAAGCAATGGGAACGATATGTCAACAGGAAGAATGGAAAAAAATGCCTCTAGTATAAACCGACAAAAACATATTCCAAGTCAGATTAACTCGTCTCCGACAACTAAAATCTACCTTACTCCTCCTGAAAGCAACATAGCTAAGCAATTTAGTACTAGCATCCTGAAGGCCCAATTCCCCAAAAAAGCACAAATTTTTGGGTTTAGCCCAATTCTAGCATGAATTTTCATTTGTTTAAGAAAAAGCGTAAACTTCTTATCAGAGTCCAGACCTAGCATAGGCTCCTGTCTGAATCCAACAATAAAAATTTGACGTGTTGTTGGATTTGCATCGTGTGCCCCATGCTGTTATTGATCTGGTGTCCAAATCGAAGAAACGATGCCGTTTCTTCAAGCCTTCATTTTTAACGGCTTCTTCTCTCTCTATGGCCGAAATTGGGGGAAAGAAATTCGTGTTCAAGAACACTCTCCCTACAAAATTTCCCACAATTGATAGAGCTTGCACCTTGAATTATTTGGAAGAATTGACACCATGAACAACGACAAAACCTCCTAGCCAGTTTTGTTTTAGTCCATGACGTGTAGAGTCATGAGCAATGCTCTGGTGACGCTGCTCAGTGCCCTGCCATGTCTGTTGCTACTTCCAATGAATGACATTATCACTAATGTCCTCTTCAAAGAGCCGAACCCTTAGTTTTTGTCCCCCAAAACCCAATTTTGCCCCCAAAATCAACAACCCATGCAGCAGCAAGTGACGAACCCTAATTTTTCCCCCAATTTTGGCCAGAGAGAGAGAGAGACTAGTCTTAACGAAGGCTTGAAGAAATGGTGTCGTTTCTTTGATTTGGACACTAAATTAGCAACGACAGGATAAGCATGGTCCACGCCCATCTTCACGTCACTTTTTTGACTTTGGATATGGACAGCAACTCAAAGGGTGTTGGATTTGGACCCTAATTAGAAGTGCGTGCTTTTCTTTTAGACAAATGAAAGTTCGTGCCAGAATTGCTCTAAAATCATAAGTTTGTGCTTTTTCATGGAATTGGGCTGGCGTCTCCAGTCACTAATAATAATTTATCTGCTTATGATTTCTCTCCATCTAAAGCAAGCAGAACTTCTAACACAAAGCAACATTAGCTAAAAACACACGAATACAACATCTCACATAAATTCCATTAAAATCAGAATCTTAGAAAACGAAACATCATGGTTCACTAACAAACTGAACCGAACAAAAAATATCAAGAAAAAAAAAGAAGAAAAAAAGGATTGACTTGCATCTAAATCATAAGCTTTTACATATACCTAAGAACCAACATGGAAAAAAGGCCAAATTTCTGTGCGCGCATGATAAAACATGTGACTGAAAGTATAAAAGAGTGATTAATACCTAGCTTTGAGTCAGGCTAGGAATTAGAATCAAAGACACTCCACTAGCAGACATAGGAGTTGAGGTAGCCGTAGGCGTCGCTTTCCCATTTTCACTTTCAACTTGAGGGCATCCGTAATCGGCGAGCGAAAACATCTAAACATAAAAAGGAGAAAACAATCACGAAACACAAAATCCAGCATTATTCAATCAAACACGACACCAAAATCAACAATGCAGCAACTAAAGCAAGCATCAACCAACTCAGCCCGGCCACAGCCACCATCTCATCCAATCCAACACCAAAATCAACAACGCAGCGAACAAAACAAGCATCAACCAACTCATCCGACTCCAAAACCCCTCCCCTTCAAAAGTCCATTCATCAAATTACCTTGAAATCTAAGATTACGTGATCATTAACTCAATAAGATGTTCATCTTGAAAAAAAGGTCCTTGCACAAATTATACCCACAACAATCCAACCTGTTACGACACAAGAAAACAATGCTTAACAAGGTTGGTGCCCAGAATTGGTCGTACAGGAATGAAGAAAAGGAATTCTTGTGAAGGCAAAAACCAACCTCGGTCGTCGGTCGGAGCGTCGCTCGTGGTGGTCGGAGTGGCGGTCGTGCGAGATGCCAAGAGTGTCGAGACAGAGGAGAGAGAGAGAGAGAGAGAGAGGGTTGAGCTGGGTTGTCTCGATTGCACCTCGCAGAGCCTCGAGATCGGACTAGAGTTGAACTAGGGGTGAGCGGTTCCAGGTCCGATCCGGTCCAACCCAAGAACTTGGAACCGGACCGGGAGGACCGGTTCCCAGTTTCTAGGATCAAGGACCGGACCGGCTAATCTTGAGACCGTAGACCGGTTTTAATGGGACAAATCACTTATTGGTAAAGGCAAGTGGGAATTGGAAAAATTATATTAGATTTACTATTTTTTTCAAAAATTTTAAAAAGTAAATAAATATATATATGAAAAAATTAGAAAAATATATATATTTATTGGTCCGGTCCGATTGGTCTAGTCCAGTCCGGTTCCCACCCTAGAACCGGGAACTGGACCGTCCGAAAACCGGTTCCACTTTTAGGAACCGAGAACCGGACTGATATTCCCGAGAACTAGACCGTCCGAAAACTGTCCACTTTTAGGAATCGAGAACCGGACTGATATTCCCAAGAACCGGACCAAACCGGTCAGTCCGGTCCAGTCCGATCCGGTTCGGTCTAGTCCTGGTTTGGGCAGTCCATCTTGCTCACCCCTAAGTTGAACTCACAGAAGAGAGTGAAAATAAGGAGGAAATATTGGATGGAAAAAAGGATTCGTTTATGTCAATAAACGGGTTAATACTATTTTTTTAAAGGCTCCGTTTTTGGAAATAAGATTATGGTGATACATTTATTTTAAATTTTTTTTACAAAAAATCCCAAATTTATGTCAATAATCCGTTAATGAGCAATATTAAAAAGGGTTAATAATACAAAAAACCTCAAATTAGTATATATGTGATAAATTTACCCAAAATTAATTTTTTGACCATAAAAAACCCTCAAATCGATGTACCTGTGATAAATTTATCCTAAACTAATTTTTGAACTATTACAAACCGGTACATTTGTGACAATTTTATCATTCATTAAATTGGATAAATATCACGAAAAATCACAAAATAATACACCTGTGACAGACGGAGGGCAAAACCCCAAATTGGTATTTCCATCAACTGTCACGTGTCATCCAATTCAGAAATTTGACGGCAAAATTTAACGAAAATTAATAGAGGGTAAAATTATCACAAGTGTACCCGGTTTAGGATTTTTTGTCGTCAAAAAATTAATTTTGGATAAATTTGTTACAAGTGTACCAGTTTGGAGTCATTCGTGGTATTAACCCTATTAAAGATCTGTCTTCATGGATGGCTGAAGGCAAACTGTGTTGACAATAATACTTACCTAGCTTAAGTAAAACAAAAATGATGCCGTTTTTGCTAAGAAATCATTTGACTGAACCTTGGAGGGTGAATGTGTCACGTAGATACAAGTTGGAGCAAATATGTTATGTATATACAAGTTTGAGAAAAAGTTTAGGATAAATGTATTACATTATATTATATCATAAAAAATATATAGAATAAATGTGTGATGAACATAATTTGAAATTTACGATGTTGTTTTCCCACATTGCATAGGCCGGCCCCATTGATGAACGACCGGGTCCCACTTCCTCTCTCTCTCTCTTCGTTCAAACTTATGAGCAAGATGGAAGTTCAATTCAGGCGATGTCTGATTTTATGTAGGAGTCACAGTTGACAAGCCAAGCCAAGATTACCGTTTGATGTTTTGATTTTTTTCGGTTTCATCGAGTTTGATTCGTGATGTGAATCCGCAAATCAGTTACGGTAACCGTAAAGATACACAGGCTCTCTTTTCGAACAAGAGGGGAAGAAAGTTCTAGAATCCCATCTTCCCGGCTCTTGCTCTTGGCCGATTCAGGGGTCGCCGGCGTCCACGGCCGATTCGAGCCGTCGCCGCCGCCGCCGCCGCCGCCGCGTCGTATCTTCCTCTTGCTTTCAGACGCCCATCTCCAGCTTCTTCCACGATCGTCTTTCTCTCTCTGCTGCAACATTCCGGTGACCGATCGGCTCATGAATTCCGGTGGATGTACTTAACGCTGGTCGTTCGCCCTCCACCGGCGCCGTATCTTCGATCGCGACGCTCTCGGGACTTCCAATCCCTTGGCTTGACCATTATTCGCTGCCGTTGATTGCGCTGTCAGAGGTATTTTGTCTTCGTGCTTTGTTTCGGCGAAACTGAATCCGAGAATTCTAGTCGCGGTTTGTGAGGAAAATCGTCTCCGATCGAGGATCCGTTCACGATTTCCATAAACTCCTGAAAATTGCACCGTGATTGAACTTCTAGTTTGCTGGAATTGAATTCATAGTTGCTGCACATGCTCATGTTTTCTGATTCGGTACAATTTTGAACTCTATAGCTTCACGAAGTCCATTCGAGATGTTGCTTGTTTCGGTTTGTGTCTTGCCTTTTCTTTTAGACATGGATTGGTGATTCTAGAGATGAGACCTTACACTGGCGAGACCATGATAGTAACTGAGATTCAACATGCTTCATGGTAAATTAAAACTGAAAGTTTTATATACAGAGGAACTAATATAGGGAAAAACAAAACTTGATGTTGCCGCTGTGTGAATGTTAATACCTTAATGCACGAAGGCTATTGCTTGACAAATGATATTTTTTATCGCCTTCCGGGCTTAGATTCTGCTGTCTGTAAAGAGCATGGACGGCCTTCATATATAGCACATTCTCTCGATCCAAATCTAAAGCACCTCTTCCACATTCTTCCATTCTTTACCATGCAAATAATTGCCATCGTCTGGTTTAACGGTACTTGAGCCGACTTTATTTTCGTGCGCAATATAGTTAAACACATTTAACTTGTTTTTGGAGACTTGGATGTCCTTCTGTTCATGTTGTTGTGTTTGACAAAAGTCATGTCCCGAACAGATTTGGTAAAAAATATGTTAATTCCGTCATTCGTTGAATCATTTCTATGCCAAGTAGAGCCACCATCGCCACATGCATCCACATTGTCATGAGGTTCTCGCAGAACCGCTAGTTCCCATCTTTACTATCCAAAGCACATTGTTCCTCATTTTTTGGCATTGAAGAGTCTTTTTGGCTGCAAGATCCTATGGACCAAATTCTTGTATTTCTTCTCCCAAATTTGAAGCCGACTCTCCAATTTCCTCTTCTCACCTTTCAATTCATCAATCCTCCTTTGCTCATCCAATATATCCCCCTCTCCCCACTTTTTCCATAACATCATATACATACTCAGCAATTCCAGGTCTCTTAGCCATCGCACATTCATATCTATTCTTCCTACATTTCCGTAGCTCGTCCTTGAGGTGTATTTTCTTCGAATTTAGACGACTCATTTTTAGGCGACTCATTCTCCTCAAGTGTTCAACCTCGTGTTCGAACTCCTCTACATCACTCATAAAACCTTTTAGACTTCCTCGAAGGATAGATGTCTAAAGATTGATGGTAAGGAAGCAATGAGCTTCGACACAGAGTGATTATAGACCTCTTTGACATTGCTGATTGAGGGAGTGAAACTGTGTTTTGAGCCACGGCTCATGGTGACTCAGGATACAAAAAGCATATGAAACTTACTACGCATGATCGTGGGAAGAGTTTTGGAAAGGAGGGGGGAGGGGAGAGGAAACGTGGGATCCAAGACGACATGTGGTGCCAGGTGTCGGCCATTGAATGGGCCGGCCCTATGGTTTGTATGTGGCAAGTTTCTAATTTGAGTTGGATCATGATTTTACTTCCTCCGTCGGTAACGTCGAGGACATCCATAATCGCTCCGTGTTGAAGCTCATGGTTTCCTTACGATCAGTCTTTAGACATATATACATCGAGAAAGTTTAGAATGTTCTAGGAGCGATGTAGAGGAGGTCGGACCACAAGGTCGAGCACTTGAGGAGCCAGAGTGAGTCGCCTAAAAATAAGTATGAGCGTCTAAATTCAAAGAAAATACACTTCAAGGGTGAGCTATGGAAATGTAGGATGAGTAGATATGAATGTACGGCTCTCGCAGAACTACTGGTTCCCCTTCTTTATTATCCAAAACATATTGGTCCTCATTTTTTGACATTGAAGAGTCTCTTTCCGGCTGTAAGACCCTTTGGTTCAAATTCTTGCATTTTTTCCCCCGAACTTGAAGCCAACTCTTCAATTTCCTCTTCTTGCCTCCAATTCATCGCTCCTCCTTCTCAGCTCATTTGATATCTCCCCCTCTCCCAACTTTATCCATAACATTATATACATCTTCAGTGATTCCCGATTTTTTAGCCACCACCCATTCATATCTACCAGTTTTACATTTCCGTAGCTCATCATTGAGGCATATTTTCCTCGAATTTAGACGCTCAAATTCATTTTTAGGCGACTCACTTTGGCTCCTCAAGTGCTTGACCTCGTGGTTCGACCCCCTCTACATATCTCCTAGAACCTTCTAGACTTCCTCGAACAATTCATGTCTAAAGACCGATTATAAGGAAACAATGAGTTCCGACATGGAGCGATTATAGACGTCCTCGACGTTGCTGATGGAGGAAGTGAAACCGTGT